TTACATCCTAAATTTTTTCTCATTAATCTTTTTATTACTATAACTATTAATCCTAGGTGCATAAATCTAAAGTTTTTCTTTTTTAATTCTCTCTTAGAATCTTCTGATATTAAATTTAATTTTCTTACTTGATTTCCTATACACTGAACGGATACTTCTCTACTATGTCTAAAAAATTGTGTTCTTGTTTCAAATATTCCTCTATTATATAATATTTCTGGGTTAAGGATTCTTAATCCATTAGTTTGAAATTTTGTTGAGGATCTATGATTTCTTCTATATTTTGATTATATTGTACTGGTCTATTTAAAACTCTTTCTATTATATTTCTGCTTATACTTGAAATATTATGTCTAGATGTAGATACTTCTTCATTTATTGTTCTAGATCTTCCTAAGAAAGGATTAGTATTCATCTTGAAAATTTATATTCCTTAGGTAATTTCCTAGTTACCTTTTCTTTTCCTATATCTTTAAAACTTAATCTTTCTAATGTAGTTGTTGGGGATTTTAAGTCTTTTTCTACACTTGATGTAGTTCCTATTTCTATTTCTTTAGATTTATTGGAATCTAAATTTCTTTTTATTTCTGTTAAATCTACCTTAGATGGTATTTTTTCTAATTTAACCAATTTTTCTAAAATACTTGAATTTTGATTTTTAATATAATCTAAAGATTCTTTTATATTCTTAATCTCTTGATCTCTAGCCGTAGTATTTTCTTTTATAATTTCTAAATAACTATTTTGCTTTTTATTTTCTATTTCTAAATTTCTTGATAAATTTATGATTAAGTCTACTAAACAATTTTGACTTGAATCTTCTGAAAATAAACTATGTAATTTATGCTTGTTGTATAAATTACACTTGATTATATTATTATCAACAGTCTGTACTTTTTTACTAGTGTTTCTTAAAATTTCTAAGTCTAAGTATTCAAGCTTTCTATTGATATCTAGAGTTCTAAATCGTAGTAAATATGTTCTATTATAAAAATATGTCTATATTCTTCTACTAATACTCTTTTTACTATATTTTCTCTTAATTCAAAAGGTAAATATTTAAGAACTTTAAATATTTCTAAAATTTCAATTAAATCTTTACTCCAGGTTCCAACTATATTATCTTCCTCAAAATAACCACAAATATCTATACTATATTTTACTTGGTAAGTTAATCTATTATCTCTAATACCTGTTAGTTCTAATATCATATACTTTTTCTTATCCCGATCACTATATATATATATATATATATATATATATATAATGAGTCAATTTAAAATGAGCCATTCATCTTCTCTATTGAGCCAAAAAGAGCCATTCACCATTTTGGCTCATTATAAATTGACTACCCATTTAATATGTCTTTCTAAAATTTTCCAGTGACACAAGATGACAGTAACAGTAGTTGTGGAATTGTGAAATATAATGTGTTCACGATATTTTTTCTTTATTTAACTTAATCATTTAAAGTATTTTCAGATTCATGTCGCTGCTACTGTTACTTATGGACTAAGTTGATGGCGGGAAAAAGGGGTGAAGTGGGTGAGGACAATTTTATCATTGTTTATGGAAAAAAAAGGTATTTTTGTATTTAATTAACGGAAAAACTGACGGAATATGGACGGAAGGACGTCCAGCGCAAAGAAATGTTGAAATGAGGGCAAAAATGCCAAAAAATGAAAGGTAGGGACATTTTTCACAATAGACTTGAAAGGTAGGGACGTTTTGTGCCAATTACCCTTTAATTAACGGAAAAACTAACGGAATATGGACGGAAGGACGTCCAGCGCAAAGAAAGGTTGAAATGAGGGCAAAAATGCAAAAAAATGAAAGGTAGGGACGTTTTCCACAATAGACTTGAAAGGTAAGGACGTTTTGTGCCAATTACCCTTTTCTAAATTATGCCATAGTTTGGTGGGGATCAATATAAGATTTTTAACAAATTTTAATAAAAATCGACAAAATATGTGATTGAAATTAAGGCTCCATTTGATTCCCATATTTCTAAGAATGAGGAAAAAAAATATAGTCATTATAAGATCCACACAAAAGATAGAAAGTCAAACATAATTACTTGATATGATTAATAATGGCCATATTTTTTATTTTTGTAGTTAGGGGTGGACAAAATGTTTAGACCAAACCAAGCCAATCCAGAACGAAACCAAACCAAACGGTTCGATTCAGTTCTATCAAAAAAAACTAATGATTTTGGTTTTTTGAACCGAGAACCATTTGGTTTTGGTTGTGGTTTGATTCTACTTCAAAAATCAAAATCAGAACCAGAACCAAACTTAATATATGTATGTTATTGAAGACCTTAAATTTATATTCATTGAAAAATAGCATATTAATTGAATACAGTCTATTGATTATTTTTGGGTCATTAGAGACAAACAGTACATTAGCTGTTTACACTCTAATTTTGTATTCATTTGAATTACTTTTCCTTCACTCCTTTTCAATTTACATGTTGCGACATGCTGGTACTGCATTTCGTCAAGTCAATGGAGTTTCTTTTCAAGATCGAAAAATAAAATTGGTCAATTACTTAAAAAATCTTTAAATTATTTTTTTACCTTGATTGTTTGATGAATTATTTGTGTTATTCACAAATAGAGGAAAATCCAATAAACAATCACGAAGTATTAAACGGTTAATGTTGCCTGTAAAAGTGGACAGAAATTTTTTGCACAATTCATTCTTTATTGTAGGAGTGTGCCTTCAAAACTACTGCAATTAATTTAGTGAACCATTGCTATTACTTATTATATATTTTTTGTATGAGAATAAAAATTGATTTGTGTATTCAAATTATGACTATATTTTGTTTGTTAGTTGTAATTTTTTTAATCTCAATGATTGAAATTTGAACGTGTTGAGTGTTTGACGTTTATTCTTTGATTATTTATGTATATATTACTGCTCCCGTTTAGCCCCCATTAAATTACATTACATTTTTCTCTCTTCTATTTTCAATTACATAATATTCCATAAAATAATATTATACGCAAATCGAAAACTTTTCTTTTTCTTTCAACCACTCATTTTTCAAAAAAACACTATCCTATCCATTTTCATTTCTCAAAAATAGGGGCCAAACGGAGGCACTAACTTATATGGTGCAAATCTGAAAATTTAAGAAATGAAACTAGAATTAAACCAGAACTGATCGATTCGATTCCATATCTTTAAAAAAATCATTTGTTCTATTATCAGAATAATCATTAGTTCATAGTTTGGTTCGATTCGGTTCTTTTGAAACTAGAATAAAATGAAATCATGTCCACTCTTATTTGTTGCAAAAAAATGAGAATCAGGGAGGATAATTGTTGACTTTGACTTAGCTATTTGGGCTATAATTGGAAATCAATTGTTACTAATAATTTATTTTTGTAATATTGCATCCATTAACTTGTAATTGGAGGGAAGCATGATGCTGTTAATTTATTCCCAGTGGTGGTAGCTTGACGAAGAAGAGAGTGCCTCCCACACCTTCAAACCCACCAAAATCTCTAGTGCGCAGGTTAACTCCCACATCTTCCAAAATTCCTTTTTCTCTGTACCCACCGACTTCGCACGTTAGCACACCATTCAGAAATCGAGAAAATTCATGATTGATTTTGAAAAAATAGGTCAGTTATTTTTGTTTGGATTATAATTGGGTTATTATCGGGTTTTGGATCGATTGATCGGTCGATCGATCGATGGGGATTTGAATATGTCGAAAGTGAAGCATTTACTGCGGAAACTGCATATCGGGGATCATCAACCCCAAGGTAGACCGCCCACACTCGATCCGTCCCCTCAAACGACGCCGTCCCAGTCGTCGTTGGCATCTTCACCTTCATCTGACCTGAACCCCATTTTGGCACAACCCGCTTTGGTTTCGCTGGAAAATGAAAATTCTGTGTCTAGTTCTAATTCTAATAGTAATTTTAATTTCTTCGAGGAGGAGTATCAAGTTCAATTGGCACTTGCTATTAGTGTGTCGGATCCAGGCCAAAACATCGACCCGGAAACTGCCCAGATCAACGTCGCCAAGCAAATTAGTCTTGGGTGCTCGCCCTCTCAATCCCTTGCCGAATTTCTCTCGCTTCGTTACTGGGTAATTATGGTTTTTCACCTCTTTTAATTAACTGTTTATTTGCAGAAAATTTGGTTCTGTCGGTTAATTGGGTCCCATGACATGCATTCATTTAATTGACTAGTGTAATTATCCCTGCCTGTGAGAAAATTTCTAGATTTATTTCTGATGGCTAGTTTTGATTTCTAGAAAATTTTCCATACATTGAGTTAACATTGGTTTGTTCCAAACATCCAACTGAATGCTGGAGGCAAATGGAATAGCGACAGATAATATTTTTTCGGCTAAACAACGTAGTTTCTTCTTTCTATTTATTGCGTGTACATTGAATATCTTGTTTAATCAATGCTCATACTGTGGTAACTTGATAGTGTTTCATGTGTTATCCATATAATGAAAACTACTACTTCTCTCAAAACATCTCATTGTATAAGAAAAAAAGGAAAGACTGCATATTTAAGGTGGTGTTCATTAGTTCTTTTTTGTTATTTACTTATTACGATGTTAGCTGAACGACTTAAGGAAGATTCTTTTGTTTTTTCTCTGTGCATGCAGAGCTGTAATGCCATAAATTATGACGAGAAAGTAATTGACGGGTTCTATGATGTTTGTGGAATTGAATCACATTTGTCCTCCCAAGCAAAAATGCCGTCGCTGGTTGATCTTCAACTAATTTCTATTTTGGATCATGTTGGTTCTGAGGTTGTTTTAGTGAACCGCACACTTGACACAGAACTGCGGGAGCTTGAGGAAAAAGTTTATTGTATGTTCAAGGAGTGCCTTGCTTTGGAAAGTGGTACAAGCTTTTTAGTTCAAAAAATTGCTGACCTTATTGTTGAAAAAATGGGAGGTCCTGTTAATGATGCAGAAGAAATGTTAAAAAGGTGGAGAGCAAGGAGTTATGACCTGCAAATCTTTCTTAATACAATCATCCTTCCCCTTGGGGGTCTTGATGTTGGACATTCACGTCAGAGAGCTTTGCTCTTTAAGGTTGTGAGAGCTTCTCCTTTTCCTTGCACTCATAATCATTGGCATATTCTATCTTAACTTTTACTTGCATTTTGCAGGTAAAGTATTCAACCTAGAGAGTTAGAAATTAGTATCTTTTGTGGTTTAATGAGTGCCTTCTTTGCAATATATTGCATATAATTAAACTAGTACGTAATTTCTTTTGTGACAAATATTTGGGATAATTGCACCCAGACCCTATCCTTTGGGTCGATTGCTCATTTGCACTTGGTTTCTATTCTAATATCTAGGCCAACAAGTCGTCGAGCTTGTATTTTTGTTGGAAGGGATTACTTCTGACTTTTCCCATCCAAAAAAACAGACATAAAATACAAGAAGACAATTATGCTTCATGTTCAAATAAACACAAATAAATATTAAGTTTATTTAATTTTTTATTTAAAACGAGATGAGAAAATTACCATACCCCCACCACCCTACCTCTGTCATCCAGTCTACCTCCATCCATCACCCTTTGAGATTAAAAAAAAAAAAATAAAGCAATTATTAGGTGAGAATAGCTTGTAAGTGGAAATATAATTCTGAATTATCAATTTATTTAAACTGCAGACCTTGGTGGCAGAATCCATCTTGCTATCTGCGATAATTTCATTATCACCCGATAATACTGATGTCAATCCAGCTATATGAATAAAGAAACGCAAAGATTAGTGTCCCATTTGAAATGTACTGATTAAGAGGGAGTTGAATGTAGACATGTTTAGAAATCTCTATAAGATCTACTGAGCCCCTCCAAGAAGGGAAAGAAGGGAAGATCTTTAAATCTTCACTCAGATGTCCAGATATTACAGTTAATGACTTAAAGTGAAAACTAGAAATTACTGAGAAGTTCAAAAGCGATAAAAGTTGTTTTTGAATGTGAGATGTGAAGAAACTGCTGGAAGAAGCTGATATAACCATCCTGAAGCTGTTTGATTTCAACAAGATTGATGGAAAGCATTTAATAACGCACCTTCCCTGGCAATTTTCTTTTATATATGTATTTTTTTGTTTATTTGACCTATAGTGCAAAATTTTATTTTCATATGATTTGACGCTTGTTATAGATGAAGAACATCAGATGCTGCAAAACTACATTTTCTGGGACCTGTTTACCTAGAAAATTAGGGGACCCAAGTGGGAATTGTACCAAAGAATAAGGTCGTACGTCTTTCACGTAAACCTATAACATTAATATATACTTTCTTTCCTGTATGATCTGTAGAGGGAGACTGTTGACCTTATCCAGAAATTAAACATCTAATTATCTAATGATCTTGATTTTGGATGCTAGGTACTTGCTGATAGGATTAACCTCCCATGTAAGCTAGTCAAAGGAAGTTATTACACTGGCACTGATGAAGGAGCAGTGAACTTGATCAAAATGGACAATGGAAGGTACCATTTATAGACTTGCTAATATATATATACATATATATATAAATGTCATATCTTTCTCGGTCTTTGCATTACTAGTTTGGTGCAATCACTTTACTAGGTAAATAGTTTCTTCTCTTTGTTTACAATATTTTTTGGAGGGTGTGCGGAGGGGGGAGGAGTTGGGTTGGATGGCAAATATGATGCTGATGTTTTAAAATATCAGTTGAATGGCAGTTTTTTATTTTCTGCTGGAAACTTTATTGCTCATCAACACGAAGGAATTTGGTTTTGTTACTGTAGTGCTCTGTTTACTGTGGCAACTGGTGAACACCTTACTCATTCAAATTGCAGACTGCTGATGTAATGTCAACTATTCTAACATATTACTGGTCATTCGAGATAGCAGTTTTCTTTGTTCTCTGAAATTATAACGTTGTACTGTAATATGGGATGGATTCTTCCTGACCTTTACCAAAAAAATAGAAATAAAAAATAAAATGTTTGCTGAAAAGCATATTCTCAACCCCTTCAATGATCCCCTTTCCTCTCTCTCAAAATTGCCCGTGTCAAATAAGAGGAGCAATGCACTGATTTTTACTTTTAATTCCTTCCCTCCTGTGTAAACTGGTTAATAAACCTTCAACAGTAGTAAGCATAACTCAAAGATTACAAACAGGGTCATAACATTGACTCGCAATTCCCCCATAACATTGCCTGAGAAAAACCAAATTGTTAGTGTTTTACCACAGCCTTACATGTAACGAGCCTGCTAAGTACACAAATTTTTTTTCCTCAAATATTTTGGAGAGAAAATGATATCTGATTCCAAGGTGCCACCTACATAAAATGCCACCTCTTTCGGTGCTTCAGATCTCCGAATTGCTATTAAGGGAACACACTCATTACCAGGACATGACTTCACGTTATATTCCCATAGCTAGCCCATCTGATAAGCTGATCCAATTATATTTGCATCTCTCTTTTCATCCAATTATATTTGCATCTCTCTTTTCATCTATATATAGTTTATGCTGGTATTCTATTGTTGTTATTTGAGCTCCATCAATGATTAAAAAGTATCCCTTATTTGTCTTGAATTGTTGACAACAAAATCATTTAGGTCTTGGAAGTTTGGGAAAGAGAAACACTTTATTGTTTAAACTTGAATTGATGCAGTGAGTACATTGTTGATCTTATGGGTGCTCCAGGCACTCTAATCCCTGCTGAGGTGCTCAGTGGTCATCACCAAAATTTTAGTTTAGATGCATGGAGTATTACACGTGTTGTAGGGACCACCAAAAGTTCATGTACTCCATTTGACAAAGGAGCTCGAAGCGGTTCACTTATGCCTAATAATGACGAAAATTATAAAATCAAAAGTTCAAGTTCAGAATCATCTGCCATTTTCCCTGAGTCAAAGAGAGACTGCAGGGATATCCCGCTATCATTATGCGGAGTTTGTGAAGAGTCTGCAGGTTCTGGAAAGAAATCATCACCAAGACAAAAATTGCAAGTTGAAGATGTTACGAAATGTGTAATTGATGCCAGAAAAGACCCAGAGTTTACAGGAAAACTTCATGCTGTTTTGTCAGAGAATCGTTTAACATCGACTTTGCCACAATCTTCAAGAGGACAAAGTATTCATAAAAATAAATTTGTGAGAGGTGAAAGGATGATTAATTCTTGGCGTCATCCAGAGATGTTCTCCAAAAAAGAGAACACTCTTGTACCTTATTCTGAAGTGCAGGTATTTAGCAAGGTTTTATGTAACAGCAGCAAAAACCATACTTCAGAACTGTTGGGTGGACAACAGCTCGAACTGGATTTGGCCGTCTCTAGTCCTGGATATAATTCATCTTTGAATACCCCAGCCAAAGAATGTATGCTTTTCAAAGGTAGAACTGATGAAGTGATACATGATGATGATGATATCACCGTGGGTGCTGGCCGTGCAAATATATCAGACAAGTCTACTGTGGAAGTGACAGAAATAGCCTGCAGTAACCAGTCTAGTGATAGCAAGAATCAGAACATGAAAAATGACCCTGTGCTGAGTGGTGTTGCTGAAATTTTGTGGGAGGATCTTCAGATTGGTGAACGCATTGGCATAGGTAATACTCAGTTCATTGGTTTTATTTCCTCATGTTGAAGGTCTAGATCTGTTGTTGACATTGAAGGAAGGTGTCTGCGAACCCTTGCTCTGTTGCTTCTCTTACGTGGTGTTTGTGGGGTGAGGGGGAGAGGGTAATACAATAACATTATTAAACTTGAGTAAAAATAAATTGTAATGTTCCCATGGTTTTACATGTGAACTTGAATCCTTGAATTTATCCGACTCATTTGACTATATCGTTCTTCATGAATATGGTTCTTCTGGGATCAAAGTTGGTAAGTACTGATAGTTATTTTGTTTCCTTGTCAAGAAGAAGAAACATCATGGTTATTAATTTCAACAGTAAGTCCCCATTTTAGTTGCATTTGTTCAATCCCATCTCATTATCGCAACAAACAGTTGAAGATCGCCTTAATTTGCATATTTCTCATTTGAGTTTGGCATTAGTTTAACTGAGATGTTCGTGTTTATCTTCTTACATGCTGCTGTCTTTACTTTATGTTTGCACCGTATTGAGAATATGCTATTTTCTTGAGTTGAAATAGTCTTCTTATATTAACGTATTTGTTTCTTTTCATAACTTGCAGGTTCGTATGGTGAAGTTTATCGGGCAGAATGGAATGGCACAGTAAGTTATGTTTTTGTGTATTCATTCAATCTTTTTATAATTGTTTTGAAATAAAACTCTGCTTATTATAAAAATAAATGCATTTCTTATCAGTGATTTGTAGGTGATATAGATCTAGCTGTATTTTCCTAATCGTATGTTGGTTTTCTTCTACTTATCAAATGTTATAAATATCAACACACTTCTTTGATACTCTTGATGTATGTCGCAAGTTGATTGAAGATTATGGACCAGTAAATTTAATATCTAATGTAGTTCCATAAACGGGCTATGTGAGTATTTGTGTAAGTTCCTATTTAGGTTTAATCCTTGCTAAGCTCCTTTGATACTATTGGAGGGAGTGATGAATTGGTTTCAAGTAACTAAAACAATTTATTATTTCAAAGAAAATGGTTTTTCAGAGATAGAGGGAAGGAGACTTGGCAGTAGAACCTTATTCTTTCTTTTCTTGTAAATAATCATCAAATATGATGCTATTTCATACCAGGAAGTTGCTGTAAAGAGATTCATGAATCAAGATATCTCCGGCACTGCACTTGCACAATTTAGATGCGAGGTAAGTGTGAATTTTGTTCGACACGTATTATCCACAGTATGTTAGGAACAAGGTAGTACTTCATGATGATTAAACCCTTTTCTCCCTGTTGCTTTATGCAGGTTGAGATCATGTTGAGGTTGAGTCATCCAAATGTTGTTCTTTTCATGGGAGCTGTAACTCAGCCTCCAAATTTGTCCATATTGACAGAGTTTCTACCAAGGTTTGTATCGCAATAAATTAGAAATTACTCTTAGTTCGGATTTGACCAATTTACCAAGGTTCGTGTACTCTGAATCTCATATTATCACGTCTTTGGATCCTTTTCATTTTGTTTACCATAACAATCTCTCTCCTCACCGCGACCCCCGCAGTTTATAACACTTGTAAGAACGATAGGATTGGATACAACATGCAACATATTTTAAATGATTCTTCTGGCATGTTTATGAGGGGAAAGGCCATGAGTCAGGTCTATCTATTGTATGAAGATACAAGTGCATATGAAGTCTTCAAGATCTTCGAGTTTTTCTTGTAAACTGTGAAAAAGAAATTTCATCATTAAACGATGCAATGATTCTGTTTGTTCCCCTTCTTCTCTAGCTGTTTCAAATCCGTTTCTTCTCTATGTGCAGGGGTAGTTTATTTAAACTGCTGCACCGTCAAAATATCCAAATTGATGAAAAGAGGCGAATAAAAATGGCGCTTGATGTGGTATTGATCGGATAATTATTTTCCCCTTTGCTTCTGTTATCACTTTGTCTTCACATCTGTTATGTGCCAAATCTTTTCAGGCCAGAGGAATGAATTACTTGCATACTAGTCACCCTATCATTGTGCATCGAGATTTGAAGACTCCCAATCTCCTTGTTGACAAAAACTGGGTGGTTAAGGTTTGGTTGTTGGGATTTGGTATTGCAATCCTGTAAATTGTGATAATGTGTTCCCCATTTCTCTTATTGACTTATGTGTCATTTCGCTATTTACTAGGTTTGTGATTTTGGGATGTCACGTATGCAGCACAGCACATTCCTGTCTTCCAAGTCAACTGCTGGAACGGTAATGTTTGTTAGATTATTTTATTATTATTATTTATTTTTACTTTTTTTCCATGTCTTTATACTCTTCCCCTCACCCCACTCCTCCACAGAGAAAAAAAATGTAAATAAATAAATAACTGACAACAGTAGGGAATTATTTACTGATTATATTTTGCAGGCGGAGTGGATGGCACCAGAGGTTTTAAGGAATGAACCATCCAATGAGAAGTGGGTCGACCTTTTATATGTACTTTAAATGCTTTGAAGAATGTAAACCCTTCTGAACGTTTTATTTCAAATCCTGCTGATGAGATCAGTGTCTCTGTTTCACAGATCTGATGTATATAGTTTTGGAGTAATATTGTGGGAATTGGCAACTCTTCGTGTACCATGGATGGAGATGAACTCCATGCAGGTTGTTGGAGCTGTTGGATTCCAGGGTAGGCACCTTGAGATTCTGCCCAGTATTGATCCAGTGGTTGCAGAGATAATTAGTGACTGTTGGAAACGGTGATTTCCTGAACTTAAAAGCTTTTCTAGTCCTGATTCTAGATCCTAATGCCTCGTGGTCTTGTAAATGTCATGTTGAAATAGATATTTGGACGCTTACCTGACTGTTTAAGATAAATGATATAGGTTGGTGCAAAGAATTAGATGGGAATTGTGCAGTATAATTTTACAAAATTTTAGCTTCTTTTTCTTGTGTAACACCACCAGTCTTGTTTAAAACTACTTACCAAACCTACCACAAGCATTAATATCTCTTGATGAAGGTTAATGACTTCCAGTGGTCTTCTGCAGAAATCCACAAGCACGCCCTTCTTTTAAGCAGATTATCAGCCGTCTGAGGTGTTTGCAGCGTCTAAATTTGCAGACAGAGACTCCTGCATCTCAGCAGTAAGTAATTCTGTTGTATCAATAGCTTAGAGGTTGTTTCCGGACTTAAAGGAGCCAGGGCTAGAGAGCGTTTAGTTGGGAGCCTCCTGTAGACAAAGTAGTTTATAAAAGGTTGTCACAAAAGGAAGAGTTGGTTCATTCGAAGTGGGGACTAAACACGACCAAGGATATCCTCCTGTCGATAGTCTCACAAAGTGCAGTCGGGAGGGTAATGATGGAGAGCTGTTGGTGCCTAAACACTTCAAGATAATTTACATCGTAAAAAGTTGAGAAATGAAAAAATATACATATATCTACAGGCGTTTTCGCGATAGGTTTAGCATTAAAACAAATGTACCATCTATATGTAAGAAGTCTGTTTAATAAGAATAGAAAAGGGGAGTTTGGAGAATCTGTGGGGATCAAGGGAGCAACTGTAAAAATGAGGTCTCTGCTGTCTGTCTTCTTCTTTTGGAGAAAATGAAAGATGAAACAAATATTTTCCCTTATATGTTAATGGTTTATGTTGTTTTATGGCATTGAAGCTTAGTTATTAAATTTGACCCGGTAGTCGGCTTGGAAAAATCATTGGGTCACCGGGTCAGTGAGTCAACCAGTGACTCGGTGGTTGAACCAGTGGAGTGATTAAACTGGTGGGTCATTGCTAGATCGTAATTTTAATTAAGACTAGTCACTATCACGTACGTTGCATGAACTTTGTATTTATCGTATTTTTATTAGTGTATGAATTTTAATTTTTTTGAAAAGTTTTTGAAACAATATCTAAAAATATTTCCGTGATATAAGAAAATAATTGTAAATTATTTTTACAATTATATAGCAGTATGTTATCTAGAAAAAATATATTTGTATATGCCATGTTTGAATAAGAAATATACAAACTATTTTGCTTGTATTCTTTGATAGTGTTGATATGATTAAATTGAATGTGAATATTATATTTTTAAATTTTTTGTAATTCAATATTGTAAAATTGAAAAAAAAAACTCTCCACACAGTGTGGAGAGAGTTAAACCAAGTGCGGAATAAAAATTAAAAAAGGTGCGAAGAGAAAAAAATCTCCGCACAGTGCGGAGAGAGTTGAACCATGTGCAGAAAGTTGGCAAACTCTTCACACAGTGCGGAGTATTAAAAAAAAAAAAAAAAACTCTTCACACAGTATGGAGAGCCAAAAAAAAAAAAAACTCTTCACACAGTATGGAGAGCCAAAAAAAAAAAAAACTCTTCGCATTGTGTGAAAAGAGTTAATCTCTCCGCACAATGCGGAAGTTGATCCGCATTATGGCAAAACTCTCCGCACAGTGCGGAGAGAGTTGAACCATGTGTGGAGAGTTGGCAAACTCTTCGCACAATGCGGAGAGATGACAAACTAGCTCTCCGCACAGTATAGAGAAAAAACTCTCCGCACAGTGCGAAAAGTTGTTTTCAAATTCCTTAATTACAAGTCAAATTTCAAGATTGTAAATTTTTCATATATACAACGAAACAGAGTCAAAAAACATGGCTCAAAATGAATTATGTGTTCTTTAAATTTTAGTCACAGCTTAATTTTTTAGCATGCAAATCATATTTATGGTATTGGAAAGAAGCTTTCTCGTGATTCATACAATAAAACAATATGTGAGTTGTGCAAAGAAAGGAATATTGATAGTACCATGACATTGTTTTTACAAATAGAGGCTCTAGGGTACCACCCAAATTCAATTTTTTTACACTTGTTTGATAACAACTCTTGGATGTTAGAAGCGGATACAATTTTTAATGAAATTATACTTTCGAGTTGTAGGCAAGGAATTAAAATGTTCAATGCATTGCTCAAAAGTTGTTTGAGAAAATGCCTCTTGGAACTTGCAGATAAAGTCCCGAGATTTTTTATTTTTCTCTTCACACTGTGTGGAGAGATAGTTTGCCATCTTTCCGCACTTTGTGGAGCATTTTTTTTTTTTTTTTTTTTGCTCATGTGCTGTGATTTTTTTTTTTTTTGGGTCTCATGGACTTTATATATACTAAAATTATTATTATTATTTTAATGTTGTTGGCATGATGTATGTGTGGACGAATATTTGTCAATCACCATAAACAAAATTCTTCACAAAATGCATAATAAATCATCTTATTACGCTAATAAATTACGATAATTTTTTTTTACAAATAACATAAAAAAATCATTTTTATTTTCAACAAAAAAACATATTTAAAAATTAGTAATTTCATAACCATTTTTTTTTAATTCTCGAAAATATAATTATAAAAAAAGAAACAATATTTAATACTTAAGAAATTCAATATTAAATAAATTTTATACATTTATAACAAATTATAATCTATATATGCAGCTTACTATATTTGCAGGAAACTTACCGTATATACAGCTTACCGTATATGCTGCCTACGTATTTGCGGCCTACCATATTTGCAAACAATTTACTGTATTTGCACCTTACCGTATTTGCAAATACAAATAACTTACCGTATTTCCAGCTTACTGTATTTGCAAACAAATTACCGTATTTTCACCTTACCATATTTGCAGCTTATCGTATATGTTGCTTACCGTATTTGCAGTTTACTATATTTTTATATGTCGATTTTTGCAATTACAAATATCGAGAATTCAGAATACCATATATTCACTTACCGAATCGAATTTCAAAAAAAAAAATCAGATTTTTATTCTTTTAACATAAGCATAAAATAAATATTAAATATATGTGAAGCACAAAATATAAATACATATGAATATGATACTCAATCTTCAATTTTTTAATATTGAATTACACAAAATTTAGAAATATAATCTTCACATTCAGCTCAATCATATCAACATTATCAAAGAATACAAGCAAAATAATTTGTATAATCTCGTATATTTCTTATTCAAATATGAAATATATAAGTATATTTTTTTTAGATGAGATAATATTGTTATGCAATTGTAAAAATAATTTGCAATTATTTTCTTATATCATGAAAATATTTCTAGATATTGCTTCAAAAACTTTTCAAAAAACTAAAATTCATACACTAATAAAAATACGATAAATGCAAAATTCGTGCAACGCACGTGACAGTCACTATGTTTAGATTTTTTTTTAACTTCACACTGTACGGAGAGTTTGCCAACTCTCCGCACTCTGTGAAGTTTTTTTTATTTATTTATTTATTTTTTATTTTTTTATTCCGCACTGTACGGAAAGTCAGCACTTTGTGAGAGCAGTGTCTGCACAGATTGTGCGGACTGTCTGCACAAAATGTCATCTCTTCGCACTGTGCGGAGATTTATTTTTTATTTTTTACTTCATATTGCGCAGAGAGTTGGCAAACTCTCCGCACATGGTTTATCATCTCTCCACACTATGTGAAGAATTTTTTTATTCCTTTTTTACTCCAAACATGGTTTGAAATCTCTCTGCATTGTGCAAAGAGTTTTTTTTTTGAAAGTTCATGTGTGAAGAATTTTTTTTATTTTATTTTTACTCATGACATTTTATATTTACCAAAATTATTATTATTTTTTTAATGCTAGTAATATGATGTGTGGAAGAACATTTGTTTGACATAATTATTTTTTAATACTAATGGGATGATGTGTGTCGGACATAAGCAAAATAGAAAATAAAAAATGTCGTCATGCATAGTAAAATTGGATTCATTTGCTATTGCATGAATAATAGACCCTCCTTTCCTTTTTTATTAGAAGTTAGATATAATTTTGAACTGAAAAGAAAAATATTTTGCTAAATCTAAATATATATGTTTGACTCCCATTATTTAATCAAAATTTACAAGTTAATCATACAGTGAAGGCAGTGAAATATAACCTTAGAAGTCGAGGTTCAAATCATTGCCAAGGCAGTGAAATATAACTTTAGTTGCCATTTCTCTAAATCTGAATATATATGTATATATATATTTGGTTCACAAAGTAGTGTAAAAACTCATTAGTTTTCAAAATGGTTTAAGGACCAAAACTCCTATTTGATTGCCAAGGTTTGAATCACTCCCTATGCAAATTGGAGAAAAAAAAAATTCATTGTAATCAAGTTAACCACATTGAACTGGTTCAAGTTAATCTTAAACCCATCCGAACTGACTGGTTCTTGACCAGTTCATTTGCCTGTTTGTCCAATTAATGAATTCGGACCGGACCACCATCCGGTTCGACGGTTCCTAATCCGAATTATCCGATCCAGTTTTAATAATTGTGCATTGAAGTGCAAAGAGAATTACTGGGAGATTTTTAGAGTCTTTGACTCGTGTGCAGCAGCATAGGAAGATTATTTCTTTTTTTATTGTATATATTAGTCTGACATCATTGTATACACTGTGCCACGTTTCGACATATGATTGGACAATTTTTGGATTCAACACACTTTCTTGCCAAAGCATTTTTGAATTTGTGGACAATGTCATTCAAATTGTCATTTATGGGATGTACAAGAAGCTTTATTTATAAAATTTAGGATTTTGCTACATGTACAACTGGGTTGAGAGCTCGAAGTGCGACCCCCTTGTTGTGGGGGGATGTACACTAACTTGTCAAATCTCGGTGTACAAATAGCAAAATCCTAAAATTTAGCTCATTTTGGTTAGGAGTAAAATAAGATTTTGAATATATTTTAATAAAAATTGATAAAATATATAATTGAAAAGTTGTAGATTCCACGAAATGTATGATTAAAATTAATTTTTGATACTAATTTAGATTTAAGATCAAGCTTCTAATTCCTACCATGTTCGATTAGTTAGATGTCAAAAATTGGTGTGAAATTCGGTACGGCCACATGTAAAAATTTGAAATGGAAATTCAGAACCTGTTAAAGGATTACAGGTTCTGCCGTTTTTATTTGGAAAGTATGTAAACCCGAATGTTACTATTCACCTTTAAAGAACAAGAAATTATTTATTTAATTATTTTTTGACTATATCCTCGAGTAATGTTTTCGTGTTAGCATTCAAATCAGTTTTGAAAAGTTAAAAGATTGCCCCATAACCTAAACATAATAAATTCTTTCAAGGGTAATTGATGTAAACGTTTATAACATATCAATTTGGTATTTGGGCTTTTAGATCAATATTTCTTTGTGAAAATTACAAAATATCCAACCTTTAAATTCCTGTATTCTAAAATTAGTTTAACCTTTCAAAAATTAGATATTTTATATTTAAATATTATACAAATTTCATTTCAAAACCCTAATCAATTTATTCTCTCTCCATCTCCCTTCTCCTCTCTTCACAGCCCGCTACCCGATCTATCTAGCGCCACACCTTCTTTACTCTTCAACGGCTCCGGACCTGAGGCAATGATGCCTTGTAGCGGCAGCAACACCGTCGTACATGATCGCTAACCGCAATGATCATGTGCAGAACCACCGAAGTCCATATTTTTTCATCCAACTTCGGTGGCGTCATTCCCTAGGTGTTGCCGACTCTCGGCAACGGTAGTGCTTCTATCACTTGCACTGCAGGCACAATCTGTGGCCTCATCTACTTCGGCAGCTCCATCCTACATGTCGATTTTGGGGATTTTTTGGTGGTGTTGTGGCGGCGATGTTGAGTTTATGGATTTTTTTTGGTAGATGTGGTGTGTTGTGGAGATGGAAATGGTGATTGTGATATGGTCGGAATCTGCAGCTCCGGGATCTAGTGGGTTTTTGGGTATGCTTTCAATTGGTGGATGGGAGCTGTAATGGTGGTTGTGGTGTTTGGGTGGCGACGACTTTGTTAGATCCAATGATAGCGGAGGCTACGTTAGATATGGTGCGGTTGTGGTTTTGGTGGTAGTGGATATTGTGGGTGGTAAGATGGTGGCAATGGTTATGGTGATGTTGGTGGTGATGGTGATGGGTCTATCGATATGGTTGTGGATATGGCGCAACGATATGTTGATTTGAGGTAGTGATGTTGCCGTTGAGAGGTGGCGGTGGCGGTGGTGCTACTGCAAGAAGGGTTAGGTGGTGGTCACAAGTGTTGAGGGGTGTTTTGTGACCAACTAATGAGTTGAATGTGACCAATAATTGGTTAATTTGTGATAAATAAATAATACATGACCTAAAAATTGTGTTTGTGACTTATAATTTATTAAGTTGTGATCGAAAAATTAACTGTAACAAATTAATTTAAAAAATTTCAATGAATAAATGAGTTGTGACCAATAAAAGTTTTGATTCTGTAACTAATGAATAATACGTGACATATAAAATTTTTGATTTGCGATCGAAAAATAAATTGTGGCCAATAATTTGATAAGTTGTGATTAAAAATTAATTCATGACCGATTAATTTTTGTGAGCAATGAATAAATTGTGACCTACAAAATTTTTAAATTGTGACCAAAAAATAATAAGTAAAATTGTTATTCATGATCAAATTGTATAGATTTGTGATCTAAATATATTTAATTAATAAAATAATTAATTAACTAATTAAATCATAAATAATAATAATAATTTTATTTTTGAAGTTTGAAACTTATTCTTTTGATTTTAAATCGTGTGATACTTAAATTCTTACTTATGAAATTTTCCCTATTTCTTTACGTGAAACATCCTTTCAATCCATTTGCTTTGTTAAAGTCTTGTAAGATGACGAATTTTACAAAGATAAATACGGCTAGGAGGCTCAACAATGACAGTGGTTTGCTATGATGCTGGCAGTTTGAGAGAGGGGGTGGGGTTTGGTAGAAGATGAAACTTTTTTTTGCCCATTTTTTTTAAATATGCTTTAATAGGTTAGAGTTTGACTCATTTAGACTTTTTGAAAATTTGGGACTTTGGATGCAATTATTATTTTTTGTTTTCGGTTATTATAGGGGGTAAATTTGTTATTTTACAAAGTTTTAATGAAGGAAATGGACGATAAGGATGTTTCGCATAAGAAATGAAGATCTGATTTGAGGATCCAAATGCTAAAACTGAAATCATACGGAAGATTTGCACCATAAAGAAGGGGACATCAAATAAAAGCCTCTTCTCTTTCACCCCTCAACTTTATTTTTATTAAGGTTGAGGTCGGTACATGAAAACTTTATTTGGCCCTTGTTTGGTCTATCTTAAAAACTTGATAAAAAGTTAAAGTTAACAATTATATTTAATCATACATTTTATAGGATCCATAATTTTTATCAAATTTTCAACCAAATATTTTATTAACTTTTATAAACATATACTAAAATTTTGATTTTAGACTTGGATTTTTGCAACTGATTAAATCATGTTGGTATACGGCATACGTCTACGAGTTATGCTACACTTACAATTGGGGTTGACAAAGTTGGATAACAAAATCACATTCTCTTCAATCATTTCAAAAACAAATTTTTAAATCGTTTGAAATCAATGTCGTGGATTTTGCCAACACATTTTGTAATCTAACTTTTGTAACCCAACTTTGTATAAGTAACTTTATTGTACTTTTACACCTTGTAATTATCGTGAAACAGTAACTTCAATTAAAAAATACTGTGTTACTTCTACCATTATTACTATCTTAATGCCACTTGTGACCATATATTTTACTTCCTTAAATATTATGGTCACGAAACATTCTTACCTATGCTACATTCATCTATGAAAACTCCCTCCCTCTTAAAGTTACAATAAATTATAGTATAAAACTAGGTTTACAAGTATCTTTCATCTAATTACTTTAGTTGTATTAGCTATGAATATAGTCAAGGATAAAAATAAAAAATAAAAAATAAATAAATAAAAAAACTCTCTCGATTAAGCAAAAAAGAAGTGAAAAAAGAAAGTTACATTCTTGAGAAAATGATTAGAACCTCTTATTTTAAAATGACCATTTTTTCTCTTATTATTAAAATAACTTTCGGTACATTATTATAATAAAATTCTTATTTCATTTTTGACCAACAATTTATTTTAAAATTAATCATTTGTTTGGGAGATTTTTTTTTCAAGTGAAAAATGTTTTTTTTTTTTGAGAGTACATAATTAAAAAGTAGGAAAAAAATATTATGAATCCCATAAGTTGTTTGTTGATAACAAATGATTTTTAAGGAAAAAAAATCTCTCCCAAACAAACTCTAGTTTGCTTGCCCGAAAAATAAATTTATAAGCAAGGCGGGACATATTCGCCATACCAATGAGAATTCAACACCAAAAGCTAACTACTATCCGACGGTAAGCCTAAATGCTTCAACTCCCATGTCCTCCTAAAGATAAATTATTTTTCTCTTCTGAAGAGCTTATTCAATAGACTTGGCTCTTATCATTGCCAAGGCTTATTGTTTTGTGTTTCTTCAGAAATAATTCTACTTTATGCTCCATATTTCGGACTTTCCAGAGCTTAAACGCCACTTCATGTAGAAACCTAGATATCCACTAGTGTAGTGAAAATTTCACCATTCTGCAAGAAAAGAAAGCTTGAGATATTTGTTCAAAGTTGAGATCATAAATCAATAAAAATTAGAGCACGTTCGACTTTGCTTAAACATAAATAAAAGTTAATTTTAAGTGATATTTTCTTTTCAATCATGTTTGAACGTGTAACTTTTCCCTTATTTGAAAGAAAAAAAGTAACTTTAATTATAATACTTACCTTAATGTCATGTCAAATCTCAATTAATAAAAAAATCTCTCTATTGCATTTGTGAAGTTTGAAAGAAAGATAGGATTAATTGGCTGGCCTACTGGACATACATCCATCGACACGACAAGACAAAATTGTACATGTGCTAATTCAGCTCACTCCGAACATTATTTAAAACGAACATTAATTGACTTTGGCTCAATTCTATAAATTCTATATATATAGCTTTTTTGTGTTGAGCTTTTCGAAAGAGTTGGTATTAGAAAGTCGAAAATTGTTGGACAACATAATTGTCAAGTTTGGAACTATATACATATCGAGTAAATTAATTATTTCTTATATATCTTGTTATTTTTATCTTTCATAAATAATGATATGTACAAGTAAGTAAACCACTTAATTGAATTTATCTTATAGTGCAACTTAAATTAGTATTATAGCACCAGTGGCATTAAATCAATATTTGGTAGTGATTTTTCTCTCCAAAAAGTCAATTTTTTTATCGTTATTTCATTATTCCATCATTTATTTTTGACTTCTTCTTTCATAAGTAAGACTTACTTTCCTCTCTAACGATCAAAAAATCAATTCTCAAAATCACTGCGAAACAAGCCCTAAATAACATTAATCTTTTGATAATGATTTATATTATTCATCTAAAGTGATGATCATAATTGATCTATGTAATTTAAGCACTTAGACAAATATCACCGATTTAGATGACAATAAGATTGCTATCACATTGTTCGATGGAAAAAATGCAATACAACTTCATTGAACAATATAACACTGACATTACAGTGCTCCAATATAGATTTTAAATTAATGAATAATCTTATTTTATTATAACCCCATCCCCAACACACAGGCCCACACCCCCACCCAACCCCAAAGAAACCCTTATAATTGCCCCCATAAACAAACTCCCTCTTCTTCCCCAAGAAAACCCTCATTAGGCCCCCCTCTACACCCCAAAAAGACCCGCCACACAAAGCTCCCAACCCTAATCCTATTTTCTTGCAGATTGAGCTCTCATATACTCTGCCTAGGTCTTTTCTCTTGCATCTTCTTCCTTAATATATAAACATTTTCCCATTTTCTTTATCACTCAAAAATTTCTCAGATTTTGCGAATGGACAGTAACCCAATTCCTCATGGCCTGACACAAGAAGAATTCACAGTATTAGAATCCATAATCCGCGCCTACCACACCTTCGATCAATTGCCAAACACATGCACATCCCTCATAATGCAACGCATTGATGCACCGGCAGCACAAGCAATCTGGCCATTCGTCCGCCGTTTCGACAACCCACAGAAGTACAAACACTTCATCAAGAGCTGCAACATGGTCGCCGGCGACGGTGGCGTTGGCAGCATAAGGGAAGTAACAGTTGTATCTGGGCTGCCGGCGTCGACCAGCACTGAAAGGCTAGAGATTTTGGATGAAGAAAAACACATTTTAAGCTTTAGGGTTGTTGGAGGAAAGCATAGATTAAACAATTATCGATCTGTTACATCTGTTAATGAATTTATTGACGAAGAAAAAAAGATTTACACCATTGTTTTGGAGTCTTATATAGTTGATATACCGGAGGGGAATACAGAAGAAGATACCAAATTGTTTACTGATACAGTTGTAAAGCTGAATCTTCAAAGGCTTGGAGTCGTGGCTATGGCGGCTTTACATGGAGAAAAATAAATTATAAGTTGGAGGATTGTGCTGGCAAGGTATAATAATGTGTGCAAAATATTGAAAGTGGGTGCGTCACAAATTTTTATTTGAATTATTTGCTTAGTTGTTGTTACTTGTTAGAAGATAAAACTTTCTTATAAGTATATTTGTCTCATTTCTAACAATTTAGCTTCAAAGTTAGGTAGTTCAAGAAACTTCTAAAGAGAATAATTATAATATGTACACTAGGAACTTGTTGAAGATAAAATTTAAAATGAGAAAGTGTGTTTAATTTGTATATTTCTCGGTGGTGGATTTTAGATCATTAAGTTTTTGTGGGTTGAATTGAATGTGAATTCGATTTAGGTTTCATATTTTCCTTACTCTTTACTTTCAATAAATGATTGGACAAGTATTTTGACTTACGGATACCTTCATTTCGATTGTGTTTCCAAATTTCAACATCTTTGATGACGGTGGAGTGGAGTGGCTTCTTAGTATACATTTGATTGTGCTTAAAAATAATTTAAATTCATATTTAAGTTACATATATTGTCTAATAGTGCTCAATTCAATTTTGCTATCTCTAGATCACATTTACGGTCGAACGTCTGACTGTTTTTTCAAATTAAATGGGATATTAGTATATAATAATGCCCATTTGATCAAGAATGTGTGTATAATAATGCCTATTGCATCACCACAAGAGTTTTAGTTGATTTTTATTTGGTCCTACATTGATTTCATCATATAAACAAGGACACGCCAACTTGTAATAAGATATGTCACGTTTCTCCCAATCAAGAAAAAGGGAATACTTTCTCAGCATTCGTGTACTCCAACATTAGAAAAATCACTAGGCAGCTTCAATTTGCTTTCGAGTGAATTAGGGTAGTGGTGTAATTCTTCTCTACACTTGCCCACTTGCAATAATTTTTTTATTTTTCAGAAAATAAAGCATAAATAAAAATGAACTATGCAACCCGACACCTGTGTTCGGCTTCGGCTTCGAGTTTTTCTGCACAAACTAGACAAACCAACTCGAGAATTTCGCAGGAAACTCAACTTTTTGCGAGGTTAAGGGACACTGAACCACAAAAATTCCAAACCTACTCCTTTGAATAACTTTTAATTGTGTGTAGTATCGTTCTCTGTAATTTTGACATCCAATGCACCAATTTTAGCCCATTTTGTTTGTCAATTAACAATTATTGAATAACTATGTGTCTATTCATTAAATGGAATTAGCTAAATATGGATGGTTTTGTAGTTTGCATTGTCTATTATAAGTCGAAAGACACATAATATATAATTAAGAATGAATTAATAAACACTTTTCTTAAACTTTTGGGTTAAGATTAGGATAGAGCCATTGAACACGAGAGCAAAATAAGTAGGCTAGCAGCTAGGGTGGGACCGTAACGAGATATATGAGTTCTGCTGAGGCTTTTAGTGAGAAATGTTAAAAAGTTTGACATTTTTGCCATCCAATATTCAAGTTACCCATTTATACATTCACATTGATCGTTTTGGTCCATATTCATTCAATTAATAGTTTGGGAACTCAAAACTTCACTTTTAAGATTGAGGACTTGTAACCATGCCATGTGAAATGTTGGGAACTGAACCCTGATTTTTCATTTGATTCTTTTTTTTTTTTTTTTTGCTGTAACAAGTTTTGCTTAAGCTTAAAAAGTTTACTTGTTAGTAAATATAGAAATTAATAAAGCGAGAAAGACTTGAAAATTAATTATATTTTATTTATGAAATTTAAAAATAATTAACTTGTTCAGACAATAACATGCTGAAATGATTCTTGATCGAGGTGAATAATCAACTTAGTGAAGGAGTATAGTGATGTTTTTTTTATACAAATATGAGAGTACAATTTAATTATTTTTAAAATATCCTATTCATTTTTTTCAAAAATTTCTTTGATGATCTACAATGGATAATCATTTAATAAATAAATAAATAAATAGTATTTAACGTGAATCCTGTTTGGCAAAAATAGAACTTAAAAAGGGGTCATTTCTATTCGCAGTACTTTTTGTTATATTTTCAATTTTATTGCTCTCTTTTTGTGTTCCAATAGCAAAAACAAAATCTACCTTTTTAAAAGAGTGAAATGAGATAATTGAACAGTCACACGAACCCTTTTGGGGTACCATACGACAGCCCCAAACCCGTGGAGCTTAACTACTTAATTTATTTATTCATTTTTAGTTCTTTTTTCATTCTCAAGTCTCAACTCAAGTCGAGTAGAGGACTTGCTTTCTCGACCATATGGTCAACTAACATTCCATTTCTCTAATTTATTTATTCATTTTTTGCACTTCAGAATTGATATCAAGTAGAGCTTCTTGCACCAACCTTTTCGAATACATCCATTTTTGTTTTATTTTGTCCAACTACAGTACAGTTGAGTAGATTCAACTCATTCCTAGTTGCTATTTTTATTAAGTTGAGTATCTAACTTCTCATAAAAAATGGAATGAGGCACTACTGATGCAACAACAAAATAATCCAATTTATTTTCTTATTTTGTTTATGATCATCCTTTCACACATCATGTCATCAGCATTAAAAAAATAATAATAATTTTAGTATGTATAAACTACCGTGACCCATGAGCAAAAAAACAAAAAAAAAAAAGGAAAAAGAAAAACAACTCTCCGCACTTGAGAAATTAAAAAAATCTCTCCACACAGTACGGAGTAATGACAAACTCTTCGCACTATGGCAAAACTCTCCGCACAATGCGAAGAGAAAAAAAACTTTCTGCACTGTGCGGAGAGTGCAAAGAGAGTTGGCAAACTCTCTGCACAATGTGGAATAATAAAATAAAATAAAAACTCTCCGCACAGTGCGCGGAGAGATGAAAAATCATGTGCGGAGTTGGCAAAACTCTCCCCACTGTGTGGAGAGTTTTGCGGAGAAAGTTCAGCTCTCCGCACTGTATGGAAAGTTTTTTTTTTTTTATTGGTAATTTTTTTCTTTTTTTTTCTCTCTCTGCTTTCCCTACTTTTCTCCTCCTTACTTCTTCACGCAACATCTATTTCCCTACTTTTTTACGCAACATCCATTTATCTTTCTCCTCTCCTACAATCCCATTTATTTTTCTTTCAAACTCCTCTCTCTCACCCAAATTGTAAAATTTTTGCTTAATTCATATTTTATCTCTGAATATGCCATGTATTGAATTTTATCATGCTCTTCTTGTAGTTGTCATAATAAATTTTCTGAATGCTAAACTTGAGTTTTTGGCTTTTTAGAGCTTGGTAGTTGCCAGAGATATATTCTTCTCGAAGATGGTTTTTGACCATGAATTCTTGACAAAGGTATCTAAGTTAGTTTTTCATCTTTTACCTCAAACCTTAAAAGATTGTTTTTAATATGATTTCTATCTATTTTCCACTTGTATAAAATATAGATCATAATGAATTTTTTACTATTTTCCTCATTTAATCTACTTTATTTAATGAGCAATGCTTTTCATTTGTTAGGATGGCTTTAAAATGGGAAAGCCACTGGGAAATACACTTGAGCCCATTAACTTGGTGCACAAATTTGGTTCTGATGCAATCAGTTATTTCTTTCTCAAGGAGGTGAAATTATTCGGTAGTGATGGGGACTACTCAGAGGACCGTTTTATCAATATTATTAATGCACATCTTGCGAAATTGGTATCTTTTTTCTCATCAATTTTATATACCCAATTGCATTTCGGATTCATATTTGTTTAGATTCTTGAACCCATGACATATTTTTTAAATCCTTTATATATCTGCATTTGTAGTCGATTAACAAGGGCAAATTGAGTTGGGTATTGTTCTTCTTTAGATAATGAGTCTAAAACTTGGGCTCTTGTTTGTTTATTTACTTGTCTGGAACTGTCTATATGTACCAGAAAGAAAGTTAATAGTAAAAATTCAGTTTTCTTATGAGCTAAATTATGACTAATATAATTTTTCTGTTTTTAATGATAGATTTCTTATATACTTTGGGCTTTTCTTTTTCTTCTATTTTTTAATTACTTTTTAATCTTTCTTATCATACATCCATACTTCTTCTTTTAATATTTCTTTTTCTTTTTTTCTTTTTTTTTGTACTTTTACCGACAAGATTTTCTACTTTTGTTTATCAAAGGTTTACTGTAGTCCTTCATTTGGGAGACAAGATATTTTTACTCTTGAGAATTTATTTATTTTTACAGATGAATGGATGAAAACTTCTGCTGGAATAGCTTTCACATCACACGCCTTAGATTTTGGAGTTGTAAAAGTATATTTTTTAAATTGCATTTTCTTAATCATTTACAATGCCTTTAAATTTCTTTGTTATGGGTGAATATCAGGTTTTTCATCCATATATCAATGGAGTACTTGTTTACTTTCTGGATTGGCTATATACTTTATGAGGAATATGGAAGAGTTTAAAAATTTTTGCTTCCCAAGGCAAGCATGCCGAACAATTAATGGTTAGTTAAATTTACATTGCTATTCTGATGTCAAGTATTAGCAAGGATAGATTGTTGTAGTTAGTAAATAGAAGATGAAAGTTGTGTGATTTTTTGTTTCAA